GCCATCCAGCAGAAAAAGGTTATAAATCCTGAGACTTTCATGAATGTTGTAAGTCAAAAGTTTGAATTTCCACTCTGTCTGAAAGTTTATGGATGTTTAGCTGTGGGAGAGAGGGATGGAGGGTATGTATGTGGAGGGGGCTCAGGTCACCACATGTGCTGGTTTTGTTAAGCAGTGTGATATGACATTATCTCCATATCATCATTAATGAGCACTGCTTCCTGAAGGAGTCTTCTTCCTCCCAGTAGCATTAAGTGCAATTATCAGCAGGTCAGTTAGAGAAGGGAGTAACCCCAGCCTGGATTTGATCAGACATCTTCCTGGAGGGTAGAAAGCTGTGTGTGGCTCCTCTCTTTCAGCTGCAGCAGGCTTCTTGGGGTCATGTCCAGGCCAGTCCTTAAAGTCTCTGAAAGTAGGTTTAGATGATCCCAAGACGTGGGCAATAACATCGCTGAAATTAATCCTTCCATCAAAAGTGTGACAAAGCAACTATACAGCAATGTGTAGGCAAGGATCACAGGATTTTACCAGACTGAAATTTCCCAATCTGTGGAGTTTTGAGCACAAATAAAGCTCAGGAAGAGCCCCAGAAGCCCTGCAACAAATCCTACAGGGCTTGTCCTATTGCCCTTCCAGTCAGTCCAGCTCAGCAGGTTCAATATGCCTTGCTGTCTATCTGCCCCATGCACTGGCTCAGAGCGTGACATGACGTGTCCTGCCACCAGTGTCAGCTGTCAGTTAATCCTTTTCATTTCAATCTTTGTTTCTGTAAGCATTTCAAAGCCAAATGCTGCAGGGGAGCCCTGGTACCACTGGCTGCCCCCTGGCTCCGCTGGCGAGAACCCATGGCTGAGCATCTCTTCTTCCCTTGGGCATCTCACTGGGGCAGGTGTGGGATCCAGACAGACCATCATCTCTCAGAAAAGTCCTCGGCTGATCCAGAGACATGCTGGGCAAAGCAATGTCCCAGGCTGCTGCAGCATTTCAGTTTTGCAAAGGCATCCCAGAGGATGAGGGAGGCACTCTTTGAGTCAAATGAGCACCTCAGCAACAGAAAGCTTTCTACCTGAGTTTTTCTTTCCCCAGAGCCAAATGATCTGCCACAGAGGGTACCTCAGTGAGGAGTATGAAGTACTGACTCATGATGGCTACTACGTCAGCCTGAACAGAATCCCTCATGGGAGAGAAAATCCTGGGAATGGAGGTATAGCTCTATTTCACAAGGAAGCCAGGGAAAAAAAAAAAAAAAACTGAGAATGTGTGTGTGAGAGTGCTGGTTGGTACAGTCTACTTTGCTAGAAAGTTAAAAAAAAAGTACCTTTCTGTTTCTAAACTGCCAGTTTTAGAAATGGAAAAATGGAAGAACCAGGGAACTACAAACCAGTCAGTCTCACCTCTGTGCCTGGCAAGATCATGGAGCAGAGCCTCCTGGAAACTCTGCTAAAGCACATGGAAAATAAGGAGATTATTGGTGACAGCCAACATGGCATCACTAAAGGCAAATTGTGCCTGATGAATCGGGTGGCCTTTTACAATGGGCTGACAGCATTGGTGGATAAGGGAAGGCAACAAACATCATCTACGTGGACTTATGCAAGCATTTGACAATGTCCTGCATGACATCTTTGCCTGTGAATTAGAGAGACATGGATTTGATGGATGGACCACTCAGTGGACAAGGAACTGGCTGGATGGCTGCACTCATAGAATCATAGAATCATAGAATGGTTTGGGTTGGAAGGGACCTCAAAGATCATCGAGTTCCAACCCCCCTGCCATGGGCAGGGACACCTCCCACTAGAGCAGGTTGCTCAAGGCCACATCCAGCCTGGCCTTGAACACTTCCAGGGATGGGGCATCCACAACTTCCCTGGGCAACCTGTTCCAGTGTCTCACCACCCTCACAGTAAAAAATTTCTTCCTGATATCTAATCTGAATCTTTTTTCTTCCAATTTAAAACTGTTTCCCCTTGTCCTGTCATTACCCTTCCTGGCACTCAAAGAGTTGTGGTCAACGGTTCAATGTCCAAGTGGCGGCCAGTAACGAGTGACGTTCCTCAGGGGTCAGTACTGGCACCACTGCTGTTTAACATCTTTGTTGGAGACATGGACAGTGGGATCAAGTTCACACTCAGCACGTTTGCTGAGGACATCAAGCTGTGTGGCGCAGTCGACACGCTGGAGGGAAGGGATGCCATCCAGAGGGAGCTGGACAGGCTTGAGAGGTGGGCCTGTGTGAGCCTCATGAAGTGCAAGGTCGTGCACCTGGGTCATGGCAATCCCAGGCACAAATACAGGCTGGGCAGAGAATGGATTGAGAGCAGCCCTGAGGAGAAGGACTTGGGGGTGTTGGTTGATGAGAAGCTCAACATGAGCCAGCAGTGTGCACTTGCACCCCAGAAAGCCAGCCACATCCTGGGCTGCATCAAAAATGACGTGGTCAATGGGTGAAGGGAGGTGATTCTCCCCCTCTATGCTGCTCTTGTTAGACACCACCTGCAGTACTGCATCCAGGTCCTCCAACATAAGAAGAACATGGACCTGTTGGAGCAAGTCTAGAGAAGACCACAAAAATGATCCAAGGGCTGGAGCACCTCTCCTATGAAGACAAGCTGCTATGAGAGAGTTGAGGCTGTTCAGGTTGGAGAAGGCTCCAGGGAGCCCCTTCCAATAGGGAGGCTATAAAGGAGAGAGGGGGAGGAACTCTTTATGAGGAGGTGTAGCAATAGGATGAGGGGTAACAGTTTTAAACTGAAAGAGGGGAGATTTATATTAGATATTAGGAAGAAATCCTTTACTGTGAGAGTGGTGAGACCCTGTCCCGGTTGCCCAGAGAAGCTGTGGATGCCCCATCCTGAAGGGGTTCAAGACCAGGTTGGATGGGGCTTTGAGCAAGCTGGTCTGGTGGGAGGTGTCCCTGCCCAGGGCAGGGTGTTGGAACTCAATGGTATTTAAGGTCCCTTCCAACCCAAACCATGCTGTGATTCTGTAATGCTTTGATTCCATGAAGTAAGGTAATGAAACAGTAAGGGCTTTGGCCACACCTGCTGTCAGGAAGATAGTGCCCACACATGCAGTCCCTTTGTGTCAGTGGTTGTGGCACTGACAGAAAATTACACTCTGTGGGATGGAGTAATACATGCATGTTTCAGGCTGTGTTTCACAACTTGCATACCGTTCATAGACTATGACGGGTATGAACATTAGAAGTCACCCTAATCCGTGACCAGGAAATGTATACTCAAGCAGAGCACCTAGTAGCCAACTGAAGGCTTGGTCTTTTAGGTGGCTACCAAGCAGTTACAGAAAGGTGTAAGTTGTAAGGTCATGGGCTGGAAGTAGAAAACAAAGACCTTTACTCTGTGTAATACGTGTCACTTTAGCCAAACAAGTTGCACAAGTTCTCCTCCACTCTACCATGCATCGGCAAGACACTAAGCTTGATGCTTTTCCAGAAAACATTGCAGAGGTTTTGCAGATTGCCAGTTACAAATACAAAACCCCTTGGGTGTAAGGGCTGTGTGGAGGTTGCCTTGGCCACTGTCACTTTTGAAGAGTGGTATAATCACCAAGTGTCTCCCACCCAGGCAGCTGGTGGGTGAAGCCTGATCTCTCCTTGGAGTGTCTGCAGAGCAGTCAGCATGCTCCTGAGGCCTTGTGAAGCTGGTGGAGCCCAGGTCCTTTCAGTGCCCCAGGAGCTCTTCTAAGAGGCATTCCCATGGGCCCCTAGGAGTTTGGAAATGACCCTTTACAAAGAAAACCTTTTGACATTTTTTTTACTGCGGCTGCCACAAGCTTAAGGTGCAACTCCATAGCTCAGATACCTTGCTGCACCACTCCAGCTGCTTTTGGAAACGTAATCCTTTGCAAGCACGAAAGTCATGACCACATGGCCAAGCAGAGGAAGTTATCAAAGATATGACCAGTGCACACATCGCTTAATTGGAGGACATGTGATGTGGTCCAGCGTGGTGCCAACGTAGCAGGGCTCTGACACAATGTGCTCTTTTTAACACCGGTCATGATAGAGCCACCACCATTCACACCACCATCCTGATCAGATACAAGAGTGGGCTCTGCCTGGTAATGTATTTTCCTCTGCATAATTCAAATTTGTATTGGAGTTACCCTGAGGGTGAAAATGCATTGATTGCTTTTTTTCTTGGTAACTTGCTTCTTGGTAATACCGTAGAGAGGGCTACCGGGAATATTTCAGAGGACAGGTATGTCTCACGGTATGGGAGATGCATTGGGAGGAGGAAGGAAGGTAGAGACTAACCAGACAGCTGGTGTGAAGATTTTCAACTCATGCTACTGTGCTGAAGTTAAGCTCTAACTTTCAAGAGCCTGGCAAAGCATTAGAAATCATATATAATATTAACTGTGTATACTAAGAGTAGATCTCTGCTCTGGGCAAGAGTCTCTAAGGTGATCAAAACTGTTTCTGTTTTTTTCAGGCTACACTGATTTAATAAGTAGTCTTCGTGTAAGGCTCTACCAGTTCCAGTTAATAGGATTCTTCTGTTAATAGTGGCTTTCTTGGTGCAAAAGCTAAGCAATAAAGAAACTGCAAAAGTGCAGACATAGTGGTAGCCCAGCCAACCTAAATGTGTTCCTTGTGCGGTGTAAACGTTTATTTCAGATTACTTTCCTCTATGTGACAATTAGCCCGATGGCATTTTCTATCACCTTAGTTCTTGCATTAGAAAGCTGGTTTTCTTCTTTTTACGGTTTAAAAAACAAAAATGGGTCTTGCCTAGTACCAGATCCAGTCTGTATGGAGGAGTATGAAGACCCATGTGTGGACTGTAATGGAAGGTGGAATTGGGAGTCTCCTCTGCTTCCCTAGCCCAGACCGTGTTATATGCTCTTCAGATACATAAGGAACTTAACCCACCACAACCAAGTAGAAACAGATATTCATAACAATATTATTTATTGTAATAACTATAATTATAATAGTAATAATAATATTTATTATTTCACACAGACACAAGATGTGGCTGTTTATTGCAATCCTGCTTTTGATACAAGCACTTACGAACTCAGCAGATGCCATCCAGCAGAAAAAGGTTATAAATCCTGAGACTTTCATGAATGTTGTAAGTCAAAAGTTTGAATTTCCACTCTGTCTGAAAGTTTATGGATGTTTAGCTGTGGGAGAGAGGGATGGAGGGTATGTATGTGGAGGGGGCTCAGGTCACCACATGTGCTGGTTTTGTTAAGCAGTGTGATATGACATTATCTCCATATCATCATTAATGAGCACTGCTTCCTGAAGGAGTCTTCTTCCTCCCAGTAGCATTAAGTGCAATTATCAGCAGGTCAGTTAGAGAAGGGAGTAACCCCAGCCTGGATTTGATCAGACATCTTCCTGGAGGGTAGAAAGCTGTGTGTGGCTCCTCTCTTTCAGCTGCAGCAGGCTTCTTGGGGTCATGTCCAGGCCAGTCCTTAAAGTCTCTGAAAGTAGGTTTAGATGATCCCAAGACGTGGGCAATAACATCGCTGAAATTAATCCTTCCATCAAAAGTGTGACAAAGCAACTATACAGCAATGTGTAGGCAAGGATCACAGGATTTTACCAGACTGAAATTTCCCAATCTGTGGAGTTTTGAGCACAAATAAAGCTCAGGAAGAGCCCCAGAAGCCCTGCAACAAATCCTACAGGGCTTGTCCTATTGCCCTTCCAGTCAGTCCAGCTCAGCAGGTTCAATATGCCTTGCTGTCTATCTGCCCCATGCACTGGCTCAGAGCGTGACATGACGTGTCCTGCCACCAGTGTCAGCTGTCAGTTAATCCTTTTCATTTCAATCTTTGTTTCTGTAAGCATTTCAAAGCCAAATGCTGCAGGGGAGCCCTGGTACCACTGGCTGCCCCCTGGCTCCGCTGGCGAGAACCCATGGCTGAGCATCTCTTCTTCCCTTGGGCATCTCACTGGGGCAGGTGTGGGATCCAGACAGACCATCATCTCTCAGAAAAGTCCTCGGCTGATCCAGAGACATGCTGGGCAAAGCAATGTCCCAGGCTGCTGCAGCATTTCAGTTTTGCAAAGGCATCCCAGAGGATGAGGGAGGCACTCTTTGAGTCAAATGAGCACCTCAGCAACAGAAAGCTTTCTACCTGAGTTTTTCTTTCCCCAGAGCCAAATGATCTGCCACAGAGGGTACCTCAGTGAGGAGTATGAAGTACTGACTCATGATGGCTACTACGTCAGCCTGAACAGAATCCCTCATGGGAGAGAAAATCCTGGGAATGGAGGTATAGCTCTATTTCACAAGGAAGCCAGGGAAAAAAAAAAAAAAAACGCCCAAAAAACAACCCCCCCCTTTACATTATGAGCAGGCGAAGGGGCGAACCTCACCAGGCCAGGGAAGTATTTATTGTTAAAGCAAAAATACCAAAACCGTGGCACTTCTCCAAGTTACAGTCAAGGCTTTAACAGCCAGCATAGGAAAGCATGCGTGCAGCACAGCCACTGCCTTTCATATCAAGCATAGACTTGGGTTTAAGGCTCAGAGGGTGCAGGCATATCTTAAGAGAGCTTCTTGTTTAATTTTTTCCCCATAAATTTGTGCCTTTGGGGGCTGAACGATCTCAGGGATGAGCCTGTACATCTGAGCTTTCACATGGTTGTTATCAGTGGTCACAGTGCTGAGCGTGTGGGAGTCTGAAAGGCTCAGGAGGGACATCTGCAGCCCTCCAGCCTGAGACAATGAGGGTGACAACCACAAGACGACTAAGGCAAGGATTTCCTCACCAGGAGATGTCATTAAAATGCACGTTGTATGTCCTCTGGTGGTACAAGAAAGAGGCTTTTTTGGCCTGAATTTGGGGTGAGTAGACAAATTCAGTTCAACGAAATGTGCTGTTTCTTTCACATCTAGAGGCCAAGCCAGTCGTGTTTCTCCAGCATGGGTTATTCGGAGAAGGTAGCCACTGGGTGCAAAATCTGGCTAACAACAGCCTTGGCTTCATACTAGCAGACTCCGGCTATGATGTCTGGCTGGGAAACAGCAGGGGCACAAGCTGGTCCCGAAGACACCAGCACCTTTCAGCTGACCAGTCCGAATTCTGGGATTTCAGGTGGGCTGCAGTGGATTATAAATGCATGGCAAGCTTCTCTAGGCACTGTCACTAACCTCTAGGCAGAGGTGGGTGCCTCCAAGCATGCAAGCCAGAGCACCTAATCCCCAGGTATGGCCTCCTCCAGACCTCCCAGTGATGTGCCCGGGGAGGTTGGGTGTACCTGAGAAGACATGTCTGCTGACATGGTGCCAACACCTCCCTGCAGCTGCCCTGCCCTGCCAAGAGCGGGACACTCATCCTGCAGAGACATCAGCCCTATCTTGTGATCTATGTGGGGACCTCCCCGGCCAAGCACCCCCACCAGCAAGATGTCTAAAAGTGTCATTGTGACCTCCCCTTCTAGACATGGTCTGCAGAAACCTTCTCCCCAAGAACAGCATTTTGAACTGCTCCTGCTGCTCTGAGTTGATCTTCAGGGAGCACTCCTGGATTTCCCAAGCTCATAAATATGCTTCCAGTAAAAAAAGCTAATAAAGTAGGTCTGCATTCCACCATGTTGCACTAAAAGGCACATGGGCAGGAACTGGTGCTCCATTCCATTTTACCAAAGAGCATCTCTAGGAGCAGAGCTAGTGGTGTAATCCTGATGAAAGCCAGCTCTGGGTCTGCAGAGCTTCTGTGTATTGTGCTTGAATGCACAGTTGGCCAGGCTCTGCACAGTTTCTCTACTGGTAGCCATGGCTATGGGAGGACTAAGCCATTTCAGGGAAGGATGGGGCCATGGCAGAAGTGCCATGCCTTCAGACCCTCTGCAGTTTCACCTAGCTCATAGGAATTTTCTCCTGGAAAACCAGCCCCAGATGTTAAGCTCTTCAGCATCCAAGCAATGCAAGGCAACCAAAATTCCCAGGTAAGTTTGCTCTCCTGTTGTTACCTTATAACCAATGTACTGCTCCTGTGTTGCAGCTTTCACGAAATGGCAATGTATGACCTCCCAGCCATGATCGACTTTGTTCTGCAGAAGACCGGGCAGAAGCAGATATATTACGTTGGCTACTCCCAGGGCTGCACAATCGGTGTGTTAGAAGTAGTTGCACATCACATTGCCTGGACCACCATTAATTTTGGTGTTCATAAGCAGAAAGCGGAGAGGTCCCATATTTATGGGCAGCCAAGGAGGCACAATATGTAGAAGGTCTCTCACAGTGAGAAATCCCACAGCAACCATGCTTTCCAGACAAGGCATCTGGGAGGACTAGCATACTCCTAGGATAGTAAGAAAGCTCCGGGTGACCTGTGTAAGCTCCTCACTGCAATTACAGCAACTATAATTCAGCCTAGAAAACCAAATTGCAGTGTTCCACATGAAAACCAAAGACATTTTACATGGAGGTCACAACTTCTGCTTTCTGATTAAATGCATGGTGCCTCTTTTGACCGGCTGAGCCATCACGGGTATGAGATAACCTCTGTGACAATAATACTCTTTAGTAGAGGTTGATGGAAGATGACAGTACTGTTCACATCACCTGGTAAATAGGGAAGGACTTCCCATCAGTGGTACTCATTGAAGTGCCTCATCCGCCACTTCTAGCCGTAGGAATGAAGGCATTGTCTCCTTTTGGACATCTCTAGCACTAATGTTAAGCAGAAAGGTGGCAAGAGATCCCACATTTCTAACTGGAGATAATGCCAGCTAAGCAGATCTGTGTGAACCCTTAGAGTAAGCACCTGAAGAAAGATCAACCGAGTCTTAGATTGTTTTTCTGTTTTCTCAGCGTTCATCGCGTTTTCAACCATGCCAGAACTGGCTCAGAAAATCAAAATGTTTTTTGCCCTGGCTCCAGCACTGACAATCAAGCACTCCAGAAGTCCCATCATGAAAATGTCCTTCCTTCTGGACAGGCAATTCAAGATGTTTCAGGTAGGGGACTACTCCACACTCTCCTCCCCTGAACACACTGCTCCTAGAAAAGGGGTCATGCCCAGACACAGTCCATAGGGCTATTCAATGCAGCAGAAAAGAATTAATTCCCACTAGTTTATAAGCACAGACACAACTGAGGTGCAGGTGCATTGGTGCACTCCTGCATGGTCACTTTGTTGAGTGTATGCCTCCCTTACATCTGCAGGATCTTCAGGTGTTGGGACTGGTATTTCTATGGGGGCACTTGTTGAATTCCTGCACAGACCACCTGGAAATGAGCAGCTTTACTGTACTGAGTTTAATGACAATGAAAAATGAATGCCACACATCTCCTCACCGCCCAGCTGGTGGGACAGCTCATGGGGACAGTGGCTGGGGACTGGTTGGGGGGAGCAGTTCAAGGGGATGCAAGGGAAACCCAAGAAAACAACCTTGCTCTTTGCTTCTGCAGCTTCTGCTTGGCAGAACAGATGCCTCACTGCGGATGAAGAAGCTGTGGAGGTTTCTCCCCGAGCTCTGCAGGCACCCACTGCTGCACAAGCCCTGTGCCAATCTTCTCTTTCTGCTAGGTGGCTACAATGAGAAAAACCTCAACATGGTGAGTGTGCCACTACCGTGCATGGGAGAGAAGGATCCAGAACCACGTGGCACTTGATAGCATCTCTGAGTTAGGGCTGCCTGTCACCGTGACCAGTTGTACCTCCCACCAGCACCCCTGGGATGGAGCCCCTGCTCCTGCTCACCCTACATCAAGTCTGCTAAAGCAGCATCTGGATGACCAGGAGTAGTCGCTAAGGCCTTAAGCAGAGTCCCTGAGCCCAGATGAGGTATCCACAGGAGCTAGGGGTGCCTCATCCTTCATCATTCATTCTCCCCTTGGATCTGTCTTGGAGCAATCGATTTTTAATGAAAACTATATTCCTGAACCTGACTCAACTCTAGACAGTGTGACTCATTAGTGGCTGTTTTGGGAAATGCATCATCTGGCAACTACTGTCCTCACTCCTGTCCATTGGGAAGCAATGATAGACAGCTTGAATATGTTTTCTTGCAGACACGGCTGGATGTGTACACATCCCACTATCCAGATGGGACATCTGTCAAAAACATGATACACTGGGCCCAGGTAGGTTCTCTGAAATGCAGGTGTTTCACCTTCGGGATGGTACCTTCACCGAGAGTCTGGCATGTCCAGGGCAGGTGTGAGAAATCAGGGATCTTGGACATTAGCAGCTTGTGAAAAAGTAAAAGCAACAAATTAGGTGTACAGAAAAGGCACTAGATGCAGGATGAGCTGCCCCAGTCTGTTTAGGAACCAAGAGACACCGGGGTGTGCATGCTGGGCTCTGCCAAGCAAGGACAAGTGAAGGGATGGGAAGGCCACAGTTGGATGCTGGGACCAGTTTGGGGCCCCCAGGGATCCCCAAGGCAGAGTGAACGCAGGTAATGTGAGCCCATGGTGGTGGTGGGTGGAGGGCAAGGCATATGAGGAGAGGCTGGGGGAGCTGGGCCTGCTCAGCTGGAGATGAGGAGGTGAAGGGGGATCCAGTGGTATGTCCCCCTGCCCAAAAGAGTCCTGGAGACACCAGGGCTGGACTCTGCCAGTCTGAGCAACCCACTGCAGCACTGACTCTGCTGGAAACAGGGTCAGGCTGGAGACCGCCACCCTGGTGCCTCCTTGCAGAGCCAAATTATAGGCAATGGGGAAGGCAAAAAAGGTCTTTAAAATCGATGCAACTATTGTGCAGCCATCTGAGCTTCTGCCCCTAGCATAGAATAACTCTTAGAATAACTTGGCTCGCTGATGTCTTTGTACTGAGGCCCAAGTGTCACAAGAAGGTAAGGATGATCCAGTTGTTGAAGGAAAGCTAACCAACATGAATTCCTCTGGCAGCAGCCTGCACACACAGTGCTGCTGCTGCTGAGCAGGTTTTCAGAGGCACAAGCATTGCACTGGGGCAGCCAAGGAGTCACATGCAACACCTTGGTTTGTCAGCCCGTAGCTTGGGACAGGCATGGAGCTGGAGGTCAAAGCATTACCCTGTTAAAAAAGGTGCGAAGCCTGACTTTGTAGGGATGCCACCTCCTCCTGCAACAACCTGTGCGAACACCCTCTCATGATGTCCCTTGAGGAGGCCAGGAGATGCCAGACCCATGCAGCGGTGCTCGCTGGCCTCCTGGTGCAGATCTATCCTCTCCTCCCAGGTGATGAAATCAGGAGAATTCAAAGCCTTCGACTACAGCAGTGAAAACCTAGCTGTGTACCATCAGGTAGGAGGCTGCAGCAGCAGTGCTGGTTGCTGGATATGTGAGGGAGCTGTCCTGGGTGACTCGGGAATGAGCTGGCTTGTAGGGGTTGGCCAAAGCAATGGTTCCTCAGAGCTCTCTCTGTCCCTCCAGGAGACACCTCCCTTCTACCGGGTGGAGGAGATGCCTGTGCCCACTGCGGTGTGGTCAGGAGGGGAGGACTGGGCAGCTGACTGGAGGGATATACGCCTGCTGCTGCCCCGTATCACCCACCTTGTCACCTATGGCCACATCCCTGACTGGAACCACTGGGACTTCATCTGGGGCTTGGACGCTCCTGAGCGCCTCTACAGCAGCATCCTGGAGCTGATGGAGGAGTCTCAGTAGAGCAGTGGCTCCCCAGGGAGATGCCGGTGGCCTGGCCCCTCTCCCTCAGCAGGGACAGCACAGGGAGGTAGTGGGACATCCCCTGCTGTCCCCTCCTTCCTTCTGGCCTGACATTCTTGTGGTGATGGTGCTTCCCACACATTTCTTGGTCGTCGGGGTCTGTCTTCCTCCTTGCTTGGGAACTCCTTAAGGACCAGTGGCACTGTGCTGGGATTAACTGAGGCCTCAGGGCAGGCAGGAGACACTGCCCAAGCAGCCCTGCTGGAAGGGCCCCCAGGTGATGGTGGACCCGTGTGCTGGGCTGCATGAGAAGGACACAGAGACCCTGCCATGACCCCACGGTTGGCTGCCGAGCGGGTCGGGGATTAGAGCACCCAGCCCACAAGGAGATGGGAGGGAACTGGGCTTGTTGGGTGAGGCCATAGGGAGGTGAGGGGGGTCTGAAAGCAGCCCCTGATTACCACATAGACAGGGATGAAGGGTCAAACCCTTCCCAGGTGGTGCAATGAGGGGCCTCAGATCACAGCCCAGGCAGAATCAGGTTGGATATGGGGAAACCTTCTTCCTCCAGACAGGTCCCCAGGAAGGTGGAGGGTCTCCATCTGGTGGGGGTTCAGGACTCAGCTGGGCCAAGCCTGGCACTTGCCTGCACCATTTAGTCCCAGGAGGTCCCTGGGGATGGCTGCATGGCTCAGCGCCAACACTCTGGGAATACCCATCCTCCATCCCTGGAAGCTGGTGGCCCCAGGTACCCCGGGGCCAGGTCACAGGGCCACTGTCCCCCCATGAAGCTACTGCCAGGCTGGTGTCCCATGGTGGTGCGCACCATTTCCCCCATGCAGTCCTACCCAGATGTGGGGAAAACCCCTCCAAAATAAAATGCTCAAAGGGGATTCCAGGATCCTGTGCTGCAGCTCTGACACCTCCACCTCCTTCTTGCATGTAAATATTTTCCGGGGAGGGTGCCTGGTACCAGAGGCCGGCAGAGATCAACGCTGGTGGGGTGACCCCAGCTGCAGCTGGCCAGGAGCGCTGGCTGGCACGGTGGGTGCTGGCACGGTGGGTGCTGCCCAGCCGGGAGCATCCCAGTACCGGCACCTCACCTCCGCCGGGGTGGGCAGGCGGTAGGGGCATCCCCCAGGCAGCACCGGGGCAGGAACCATCGATCCCCAGCAAAGAGCCACCAGCAGCCTCGGGGCTGGAGACCTTTACTGGTGCCTACAACGGCTGGGAGGTCACCATCACGCGGGAGCTCTGGGGCTGGCCCTTGACGGCAGCAGCCTGCCCGGGGAGCCACCGGCAGTTCCCCCGGTGCTACCGGCACACGTACAGCCAGGCCAGCCCGGCTGACGGGCCGCACGGAGGCATCCAGCGGCTCCTCCACCTTCCCTGGCCACGGAGCTGAGCAGGTACCGGTGCGGGACGGGGACAGAAGGAGGGCGGTGAGGGGGCCCGGGGGTCCCCTTTTCCCGCTCCTCCACCTACGACCGGGGGATCGGTCCCGCTCTCTGAAGCCACCGACCCACCACCAGACGCCGAGCAGGCCTCCACGGCGGCTGCCCCTCCGGACCCCGGGGGCGGGGCCTGAGGAGGGGCGGGGCCTGCGGAGGGGCGGGGCCTGCGGAGGGCGGGGCGGTGCCGGGCCGTACCGGGCGCCATGGAGGGCGGCGGCGGGGCGCGGCGGGTGGTG